CTAAGCCCCAAACCCTAAAAAAAAATATTCCACAAAAAAGAAAACAGAATTCCCAAAACAATTCCTGGCCCCATTGGAATTGGGTCTCAGCTAGTACCAGCCACTCGACATCTCCGTTTTCTGAGACTTGTGCTGACCTACGTCCGTTTTACTTCCCCTGGTTCTGCCAAGTCCACCACAAAGAGCAGGGAAAGAAAGCGGGCCGGGTTGATGTCTAGGATTGAGGCTGGTCCTTCAGTTGATCATCCTGATGGATTCGATCCTGAAGAGATATGGCTTCGGACTGAGCTTGGAATGAGCAATTAGTAAATGCATGGTGAGCTCTCGCAAGGTCTGGACCTTCAGTTGACACCCTACCAAGTGATCGTTCCGTCCTTAACTTGAGCACAAGATGGAAAGCAAGGGCACATCCAGCGATTGGTGATTCGCTTCACTACTTCGCGTTCATGGCCGCGCAGTCACCTGTAGCGATCCGGTGGCCCGTGCCCTGCAAGGCCCTTTCTCGCAACGACGGGCTGATCGACTTTGCTGCATCCTTGCGGCTTCGAGGGGGTCTGGGTCTACACAAAAGAGCTCTTTTTTTCTGTCCGAGGTTCCGGATTCTTCCAACCTGTCCAAAGTGCTTAAAGAGCACAACGGGGTCGCGTCCTCTGCCGAGAAGACAGAATCAGAAGCTGCATGTTGTCCGAAAAGTCTGTGACAGTTATGATTCATGATGTCACGATGTCCATAGACCTTCCGTTCAGCTTAGCTTTGCAGGATGCGCATCTCAACCTGTAGTCGTCATCATGCAGCTGGCTTGACCTTCAGTAAGGACATCCAGCAGTTCTTCCGTGCCCATCATCCCGTGGCAGTCCCAGCCCACCAGTTTGGGGTTTTCCTTGGCATGCATGCACCAGCTTGAGTCCAGTTTGAGGCTGATGGCATCCACAAAGGCCAGAACAAGGGCGACGACGCGTGGTTGCCCCGGCACCCGGGATCCACGCGATCAGCGGGACGGGCTGCCACGCACGAGTGCTCGAGGAGCGGCGCGTGGTGCCCGCAGAACTCCTATGGCATCAAGGCCGAGGCCGGCTGTGGGGGGAAAAGGCGGGCCCGGCGGCGAGGGCCAGGGTTCTCAAAGTGCACTCTCCCCAGGTGCTGGAGAACTTCGCCGCAGCCTGAGGGCCATTTTCTCTTCTGTATCTGAATTTGCAACAGTGCGCTGTTGAGGTCCGCAGCTGTGCAGGCTACTGTGCGGCATGCTTAGAGCGAGTGTAGCCAGGCCTGTCCTCCTTGCATGCTGGTCTGACGAAATGCAAAAGGTCATCACCTACATCCTCGGTATTGGAGACCGTCACCTCGACAATCTTATGGCCGGGATCGCAGAGCGTTGACGAACACATGCCCACACGTGATTTGGAGAGATCAGCCAGTGGTACCCCGGAGCAAGTTCCGTAAGGCGTGGAATGTCTGACTAAGATCGGAACGCTTGCCGAATCTTGATGTGAGTTTCGATGGGTAGATCGAAAGCTACATTCATTGTGCAGTCATGAACCGTGACGTCATGCTGATACGCTGTTCAAGTTGGGAAGCTGCTGTTGTAATCCATGGCAAGCAGCTTTGAGACACCTTGGTGGCACTATCATGACCAATCACCCATGGACGGTTCAATCAGTTAGGTTTGAATGAACTGATGGACATTGGCGATTCTTGGCGTCAAGCGACAACATGCGACAAAGGCCTGAAACAAGGTCGGACCACATGTGGAAGAAGCTGCAGAGAGCTAGGCCGCGGCTAGCTTTATGTTTATCCATGTCCGAGGTTGATTTGTCGTTGTGTGCCGTAGGTTCTTTGTAAAAAGACTTACAGCAATGTGTCCGTGAAGTCTCGTGAAGGGCGCAAAAAGTCCGCGAACGTTATCATGTAACGGACTTGGGGCATGCTGTAGGCCGTAGTACAGCAGGCATGGCCAGCTTTTCAGCAGGCGCCTAAACAAAAATCCTGAGACCTCAACGCCTAAAGAATCCCAGACTCCAAGACATCTGAAACCTCCAAGCCCCAGTCTCCAAACATTCCCAAAGACAGTGGGAAATTTCTCAAAAGAACTTCATCAAAACTCACAGTGACGGGCATTGCCCACAGCTTCAGGTCACCAAGGACGGCAAACTCTTCCACATTGACTTCGGATTTATCTTGGGTGCCGGACCTTGCTGAGCCTGTTTCAAGCGCATTGCACCCCGCACGCTCCTTGGGAGGCAAAGATCCCAAGCCATTCCCGCCACCAATGCGCATCTGCAAGGCATCGTCGTCCCGTTGTTGAACTTGGTGGCATGTCTTCACCCGCTGTCAGATGCCAGGAGATGGTGGAAGGCCTGCTTGCATCTGACATCCACTGTCGCATGAGCACTTCTCATTGGTGCAAGCAGGGATGGGTGGTAACCCTTCGCCTGGGTACCAGTCCTTCAAGTCCAAATGTTGCAGGGAACCCTAGCACAAAGCATCTGCACCTCTGGTTAGTTCGCTGTCGGCGTCATCCGAAGGGTTCAGTCAGTCAGTTAGTCAGTCAGTGTCAGTCAGTCCTGCGCTGCGCGGCGCGTGGACGGGTATGGCTTGATGAACCGTTCCATACCAGACAGTGGGGGGCATGTACAAGTCTGCCTGCTTCCAGTTGCTTCACGGTGGCCACTTCCTTCAAAAACCCATTCCCGTCTCGGTCGACCTACTCGCCTCATGTACCTGCTGGTAGCAGGCTGAAGGGCTCCAGGTATGAAGCCAGATGCCAGATACGTGCAACGGGTGTTGAGACCTTGTCAAACAAAAGCAGCTGGCGTTGTACGAGCATGTGAGAAGTGGCATTGCAGCATGCGCCTTGTTTGGAACACGGCAAAGAACAGAAGTTGGAATGCCAGTGATACGACATAGACATCGGTTTTGGAAACCATCCAACTCTACCCATACATGAGTTTGGAATCAAGCAGAGTTTTGTAAACATAAACCTCCCTATGAACAGGAAGTAAAGAGTGCTCCCAAGCTTATTGCAAATCAGTAAAGCCTGCTTTTGTCATCGCTGTGCGCGACCAAGCTTGTGTCGGGGCAAACCCGTGTGAGTGACGACCGCACTGAGATAGCTTATGCCAGGTGTTGCTCTGCATTGAACTGAAGTTGACTGAAACTCTTCCCAATGAAGCTCCATACCGCTGTAGAACTTACCATCGGAAGTTGCATGAGGCAACGCGTCATCTCCATAGACAATTTCTGCCAAATTTCCCTTTTCGTATGCGACTGCAGATGGTGCATCAAGATGGGAAACGGCATCATGCATCAAGATTGGCATTGTCTTGATGAATAGCAATGGGCTCAGCGTGCAGCCCTGTGAAATGCCAGATTTCTGGGATCGTGTGGCAGAAGTGATGTCTTGGTCAGTCAAGCATCATTGCCGAGATCCTTTTCAAGCCGAAATCTGAAGTACCAAAACGTCGTAACGCATCGGGAGGCTGTCACTGTTTGTGCTGTTGAAAGCTTTCTTCCAGTCGAGTGTTAAGAGGCGGATTTGATCATTCTTCTGCGCACACGCCTTCTCAACCCTCCGCTAGAAACGAAAATTGCATCGCGAACAGAACCGAGGGAACAGCATATGCTAATAGCAGGGGTTTCGGGTGTAAGGTTCAGGGTTTAGGCTTAGGAGCTCAGGGTTTAGGGTTTTGGTTTCGCGGGAGAGCCGAACATCTAAGTTCTGGATTCTTGACTGCATCAAATCCTCTCTGCGATGGGGGGCGGGGGGCAGGCCCAAATCCTGGACAGACCAGCAGGTCCTCCTTCCTACCGCCCCAAAATTGCTTCCAAAGTCGCAACCCAGAAATCTTTGGGAAGGTCGGGGGGGGGCTGGGAGGGCGCATGAGGGCACTAAACGGGGAGGGTATAATGGATGGTGCCATGGAAGCCGATCTGGCCTCGTATTGGCATCAGCAGGGTCGCCCTTTGTCGACCATTCATTAGGAACTATTGCTGGTTCACCAGCAATAGTTGCCAATATCGAGCTTCAGCATGAGTCATGTCGAACTGTCCACTGGGTTCGTTCTACGTTGTGTGCAAGGGTTTTCGCGCGTATTTACGATGAAGCCAAGTGACCATCTTCATTTCGTAGTCGCCTTTGTTTCGCTATTGTCTTCGCAACAGTAAAATTAGCATTATTTACGCGTTGTGCCGCCAGCCGTGTGACCGGGGCCGGCGGCCACAAACGCAGCCGCCTTTGCCGTCCGCAGTCGAGCGGCCGGTCGGCGGCTCTGCAGCCCGGCGGATACCTGTGGAACTACTACCACGACTACTACCACAACTACTGCAACGACTACCACTACTGCGACTCCGACTACCACTGCGTGTCAGTTTTAGTTGCTTTTCAGAAATTGCCTCCAGTTCAAGTTCATGCCACATGTGCAAGGGTTGAGCTGCATTTGCGCTGCCCATTCTTCTCGAGGTGCACCTTTGGCCATTAGCTTTTTCCTAGGCTACTCGTTGCCCAGATAGTCAGAAGACTACAGGAGCCAGACGGCACTTCAGGAGAAGCAGCAGTTTCTCTTCGACCAGAAGCTCTACAACAGAGTGGACGAAAACAAGTGACCGCAGAGTACCCTTTGCAATCTGTCTGCTTGTGATACAGAGTTCGAGCGAGAAAGCTACCCAGTCACTGATACTGGTAGCGGAGCTCGGTCTGCTGTTAGGGACCTCGAGCTGCTGGAAGGACGCCTACGGCAACTCTTGCTAGAACCATCCGAAAATCTGGGTGGCCACGACTTCTCGCTGAACTGTGTGCAGGCGGGCGGGCTCCCGACAAGCTCACCAACGGCCTTCTGAGGGTGGACATCGGCGTTCGCCTCAACTATGACATCCGAGAACAAGCACGAGCCTTACTTGCGATGTTCATGGAACGGAGAAGCGTCTGGATGGACCGATTTCACGAGAAGAGTGAGATTGGCGTTTGAACAGACGCCACGCAAGCGCCGCCACCTCCTGGGCCCTCAGATTGTCAGCCAATTGTCAGATCGTGCCTGGTCTATCACTGGCAGCATTGACCACAAGCAACTGTGCCGGAGGAACGGTGTGGTTTACCTGCTGCAGTACCTGAAGGAGGCCCTGGGGCGACTTCCTGTTCCGGACATTGGGGTGCGCTTGGAAGCACTCATCTTGAGGATGAAACGGCAGCCCCACCAATCCATGGCAACATGGGCTGCACACCTCCGACAGCAATACCGTCACCTTCAGGTGGCACTCAACCGCGTCCGGACTCAGGAGGACGCCAAGAAAACCAGCTCTACGTCTCCTTCGCCGACTACCTCTACCACGGGAGCATCGCCCCAGCGACGAGCGAGCAATTTGACCGTTGAGGAGCCGCATGCCGAGCAAGCAGCTGGGGACGGTGAGGCGGATGAGACGGCAACCGTTGGTCCCGGGGAAATGGAAGACGAAGAGCTGAGACCAGGGAGCCCTACCTCTCCCTCCTGGAGGCGGCATCGAGATCGACGAGAGTCAGATTCAGATACCTCGGTGAAAGCGCTGGAGGATCTGAGTCTATGGGAGGCACACGAAGAACACCTTCCAGAGGTGCTTCCCTCTGAAGTTCTTGGATGGCTTCTTCTGAGGAGAGCCAATCTGGGGACTCAAGCACGACTCGCCGTGCAAGCCGCTGCTGGAAACAGTCTTCGCCTCGAAGATGTGGAGAAAGCCTTGCGAGGTATGGAAGACGAGTTGGTGAACCAAGAGGCCATGGGCAAGGGATCCTCAAAGGGGGATCATCGTCGAAGGACTTTCTGGGTGGAAGAGGCCGGTGAGTGGTCGATGGTAGTGGAGAGTGCGGAGCTCGAGGAGTCCTTGGATACCGCGGACACCATCTATGTCGGCACTCGACTACCACCTCAAGTATACCCTCAAGGCCTGGTTTCGCTTGAGGAACCCCTGCACTATGAGGACGCCTGGTGGTCTCATCCAGAGACCGAGACGACGATGGCATGGGACGACTCAGCCTGGTGGAACTGGGAAGACTACGACGACTTACTGACCCCAGAGGAGCACAAGGAGGTCGATGAGGCCTACGCAATGGCGGAAGCCAAGGTCCGGAACTTTGTACAAGCCCGACAAGCAGTCAAGGCACGCAACTTGTCCCGAGGGTTCTATCCCTTCGTCCCGCAGAGCAAAGGCATCGGCAAAGGTAAGAAGGGATCCAAGGGGCGATTTCGATCCAAAGGAAAGGGGCCATTACTGACTTCGGCATCTTCCTCTACACCTGTGATGGCCGCCGTGGACGACAATGGCTTCCTCGGAGCAGCAGTGGGCCAACCTGGCTACACCGGCTGCTTTATATGTGGCTCGAAGGGCCACGATTTCAGGTCCTGTCCTCGTCGCCAGGGAAAAGGCTCCAAGAGCGGAAGACCCGGAGCCGTGCATCTCGCTGAGGCCTCTGTCTTCACTGTGACTGCCGAGCCCCTCGACGAGCAGATTCCTGAGGTTCCCACGTTTATGAGCCAGAATGCCCTAGGAGAGCCTGATCTTTCGGGGTTTGCAGTGCTGGATACTGGGGCTACCGAGACGGTAGGATCTCTTCCAGCAGTAGAACAGCTCATGCAAGCTCGATACCGTCACCTAGGGGTTGCAGAACAAGTTCATGTCCTGGACAAAGCGCCCAAGAGATTTAAGTTTGGCAATGGAGAATGCGCACTATCTTCATCGTATATCTTGTTGCCTCAACATCTGGGAGACCAAGAAGTTCACTTAGGGCTGTACACCCTCGACGTCGTTGGTGTTCCGTTGTTGGTGGGGATCCGTACATTGCGGCGATTAGGCGCAGTTCTCGACCTCTCGAAGTTCGTAATAGTCTTCACAGCCATCGACATCTCCCGAGCGATTCCCCTAAGAAGATCTCCCAGCGGACATGCACTGCTTGACCTTCGGGGTGACTGGCTGTCCGGAGGATGCCTGGTAGCTGACCTGGGCAACACGCCGAACATGTTTTCTCCTCCAGAAGAAAATCCCCTCGAGTCCGCGTATGTGTTGAGTGATGGAGAGCCTGTTGAGCCACAGCCTACATGTCTACCGCAGAGCAGCAATGAGCCACGTCCAGACCATGCGCACAGCGGTGAGCCCGACAACCTTGTCGTGCCCGGACAGCGGTGTGGCTCGAGCCACGACAATTCGATGAGATCCTTA